TCAGTGGAACAGAAGAGAGAACCCAGAAATTGATCCAAGACATTATGCTTAATTAATATTTGACAAAGTAGGCAAGAACATACAATGGAGTAAAGACAGTCTGTTCAATAAATTATATTGGAAAAATTGGACAGGTACATGCAAAAAAAAAGAAAGAAACTAGACAACCAACTTACACCATACACAAGAATAAACTCAAAATGGATGAAAGATTTAAATGTAACTCATGAAACCATAAAAATTCTAGAAGAAAATGTAGGCAGTAAAATCTCAGACATCACACATAGCAGTATTCTCACCGATATGTTAAGTAGGGCAAGAGAAACAAAGAAAAAATTAATAAATGGGACAATATCAAACTAAAAAGCTTCTGTAGAGCAAAAGAAATCAGCATCAAAATGAAAAGGGAACCTACTGTATGGGAGAACATATTTGCCAACATACATTGGATAAGGGGTCAATTTCCAAAATATATAGAGTACTCATACAACTCAACAAAAAAAGACAATCCAATTAAAAATGGGCAGAGGACCTAAATAGACACTTCTCCAAAGAGGACATACAAATGGTGACGAGTCATATGAAAAAAGCTCAATGACACTAATCATCAAAGAGATGCAAATTAAAACAACAATGAGATATTTGGCCAGTGTGCAGTGGTTGAGCATCAACTCATGCACCAAGAGGTCGCCCGTTTGATTCCTGGTCAGGGCACATGCCAAGGCTGTGGTCCCAGTCCCCAGTCCCCAGTTGGGGGCATGCAGGAGGTGGCCAATCAATGTTCTTGCTCATCAATGTTTCTATCTCTCTCTCCTTCTCCCTTCCTCTCTCTCTAAAATCAATAAAGAAAAAAAAAAAAAAAGAGGTATCACCTCATATCTGCCAGAATGGCGTCCATCAAAAATCAAACAACAAGTGTTGGTGAGGGTGTGGAGAAAAGGGGACTCTAGTACACTGCAGGTGGGAATGCAGACTGGTGCAGCCACTATGGAAAACAATATGGTGTTTCCTCAAAAAATTAAAAATTGAACTGCCATTTGACCCAGTGATCCCACTTCTAGGAATATACCCTAAGAAGCCTGAAACACCAATCAGAAAGAATGTATGTACCCCCATGTTTGTAGCAGCACTATTTACAATAGCTAAGATCTGGAAACAGCCCAAATGTCCATCAGTAGATGAATGCATAAAAAAGCTGTGCTACATATACACAATGGAGTACTATGCAGCTGTAAGAAAGAAAGATCTCTTATCCTTTGAGGTGACTTGGAGGGAACAGGAAAGTATTATATTAAGCGAAACAGGCCAAGCCGAGAAAGACAAACATCACATGATCTCACTTATTTGTGAAATATAATGAACATAATAAACTGACAAACAAAATAGATCCAGAGACATGGATACATGGAACAGGCTGACAGATCTCAGAGGGAATGGGGGTGGGGGGATGGGAAGAGATTAACCAAAGAACATATATGCATATATGCATAGCCCATGAACACAGACAATAGTGTGGTGAAGGCCTGGGGTGGACAGTGGCAAAAAGGGGGAATATGAGGGACATCTGTAATACTGCCAACAATAAGTACATAAGTAATAAAAAGGAACTTAAACTCATTGCTGTGACCTCATAGACCTGCTTCTCTAACTGCAACCTCATTCTATGGCCACACTCCTCCTCGGGTGGAGGTCTTCCCTTGCTGAACCCTTTCCATGCTGAGGCCCATGCCTGCAGGAGGCCCTGCTACTCCTGCCTGCCCACATCTTCACTTAATGGGCTCCTTCTCATCCTTCAAGTCTCCTCTTAAGTGAGCCCCTCCCTGACCACCCACTAAGTTCAGTCACTGGGCTCTGCTCCCTGTTCAGTTCCTTCTGAGCACTTGTATTTATTTGCTGTGATCATCCCCCTCCCACATAGCTTTTGTTCTCTGTATCCTCAGAGAAGAGAATGGAGACAGAAGTACAGGAGGAGAAAGGGGTGGCCCAGCCCCTTTCCCTGCCCCCGCATGGGCATTTTGCACTGAGGTCTTCAGGATGGGAGCTGGAAAACAGGTGCGTGGAGACAGCCTCTCCTCAGCTCCTTGTTTGTTTTGTTTCCTGTAAGCTGCGATTTGAGGCTCCCATAGGTGTTAATTCCAGAGAATATCCTCACTGTGAAAAGTTTTATCCATTCATTCCCTCAGTCATCACAACAGGGAATACCTACTACATGAAAGGCACTTGGTCTCATCTCTCCCTAAGACACCTCCCCTCCTCCCCAAGCAGTCACAGCTTCCCATCGCTCTTCTCCTGGCCAGGGCAGCTCCAGTCCCGGAGATGTCCGTCGTGGGTATTCCGGCTCCCGGGACCGGGAGGCCACCCTGGGGTGGGACAGATGGGAGAAAAGTCTGTTCTCTCCCTGTCCACACGAGTCGTGCTGCTGGGTGCCTTTTCACGTCATCAAAATTCTCTCTGAGGCTCCAAATACAGTGCCCACATACAAAGATATGTCTCTCATAAAAGCACTTTTGAATTCTTCCCAGAGGGCAATGACATATCAACTCAGTGATCATTGTAACATATTACTATTATTGTTGTTATTTTTTAAATTTCTTATAACTGCTTAGCACATTATAGTTTCCAAAGTACGTTCATGTCAATAACACATACATATGTGTAGTCCATATAATAATACAATCAATTAGGTAGAGAAAATGAGTTGTGTTGGAGGGACTGAATGGAATCTGAGGGAGGACAGTGGACTGGTCAGAATTCTAGCAGAATCTGATGTTCAAGGAAACAAACCTAATGATGGGACCACTTACATAGGTAAGATGTGAATGGGGTCAAGGAGCAGATAGGAGACAGTGAGGCACCTGGAAATAATCTCAGAGGGAAGCCACGAGGAGCCCCCGGGCTGGGGTCTGAGGAATTTGTGTTTTCTCCATAGAGGAGGGAAAAATGTCATTCAGGAGAGATGCAGCGGCCCAGGCCCAGAAGGGGAGGAGAGGAGAAAGGCCCCGGAGCACGCTGCAGCCTGAGCTCTCTGTAGCTGACCTGCCTGCGTACAAGTGACCAGGCGTCAGAGGCTGCAGCCCAGGCTTGAGCCAACCGGCCACGGAGCCTGCTGAGCCGGTGACGGAGGGTGGAGAAGTAGTTGGGGGTGAGGTGGGCACAGTACGTGGACAGTAATTAGCTCAAAAGCCAAATGGGGATGTGGGCTGGGAAAATACAAATTCCTTGGACAGGGAATGGGATTGTTGCCACAGAGGAGGAATGAATGAATAAAATTTCTCAGCTCTCTTCAAGGGCTGTTCTTGGGATTAAGGCAAAAATGATGCATGGGAGGTTCAAGGATTCGCTAAAGAGGGCTGAGCCCAGGGCTGCAGGGTTCTCCTCGTCCAGCCTTTTCTAGAGCGGCTGCTCCTCCAAGCTCTGCTATTGAGAGCTCAGGAATCAGTCAGTGTGCGGGGCTGAGAGCCGCCCCTCCGAAAGGAGAAACCACACTCTCCCTCTCGTCGTACATAATCTCCCTTCTCTCAGATCCACCTCACTGCCCTTAACTTCAGCAGCACCTACTGTGTCTAAACAGTCTCTCAGTGAAGTTCTCAAAGCACACCCCCAGTGTGGGAGCTTGAAGGGAAGAAGACTTTTTCTCCCCAAAGAACTCGTTGCTCAAAGTCACTGACAGTTTCTGAATGTCTACCATGGGCTGGATGCCACCCAGAAACCATCGCAGGTCACCCCATGTCACCCTCTAGCACAGATGTCACTCATGAAGTAAGATAATCTGGGACTGGCTCTATTATCCCATTTTCCAGATGAGGACAGCAAGGAGCACAAAGATGAAGTCACTTGCTCCTGCTCATCTAACCCACAGACAGTGGTTCTGCCTCCCGGTTAGGGACGCAGCATCTGGTCTGTGAGGGGGACTGAGTGTGGGGTGAGGCGGTTTCTGGAAACTGTACTTCTGCTCAGTTTTGTTGTGAACTTAAAACTGTTCCAAAAAATAAAGTCCATTAATTAAAAAAATCAGTTGTACCCATTGGGCTAAGTTGTGGGTTATGGGGACAGTATCCATTTTGGTAGACACAGGATTGTGCTGCCGGAAGAAAAAATGCACACACACACACACACACACCCCTTTGGTTGTTACTATGTTTGGGGGTGGGGGTCAGCAAACCTAGGATATATTTTGAAGAAAGAGACTAAATAGTTTTACCCTTTATCCCAAACTCCTGTTCTGTGTAGAAATCCCTGCTTTTATCTGTTCTTCCTTCTTGTATTTGCAGGGGTGATGGGACCTAAAGTTGGGCAGTGGGAGTTTCATGTGTGGAGGGGACAGTAATTGGCACAAATCCCGGTTCATAAGCAATTTGTTACAAGCCTGGGTGGGTGTGTGTGCTCCTGTGTGCATGAGTGTGTGTCTTTTCCACATACATGGTTCTTGGCCCAGCAGCTGACATTGTGTGATTTTTTCAGTATGTCTATACTGTCTTTGTCACTGTACTAAAGTCTGTCCTTAGCAGGCAAAACACATCTAGAATAGTGCATAGTAAAAGTCTGTAACAAGTAATGAAGGAATAAATGATTATAGTCGCATTGGCACTGAAGAAGAAGACTCGAACAGTAGGCAACTTCTCAGCCTCCTGCCGTGACTTTGTTACCTGTGTCTTGATATCTCATAGATCTGCGGCCTCCAAAGCAAGGCTGATGATTCTGCTGTTATTACTGCAAGGCAGTTGTTAATGCCACTGTTTGTCTTTTCTCTTTCTGTACTGCCAAAATTAATTGTTCGAGGCAGGGAGGAAAGGTGTTGGCAGTGGTTATTACAGTGAAGGAGGCTTAAAGAGAACACTCCTCAGTGGGGATCCAAAGGAAATTCCTTCTCCAACCGTCTGCAGCCTTTGCCCACGCATTGGGGGGTAGTGTGGGGTGGGGTCTCCAGACAGAACTGGGAAACTGCAGTGTGTTCTGAAGCCGGGTATCCTTTCTAACACAACCTCAGACTCCCCCTGTACCTTTTAATGAGGTCCATCTCCGCCTGATCCCTCTTGCTAAAGAGCAGATTTCGGCTGTTTTCAAAGATGTCTTCAATCTGGTCTGGCCAGAGGAACAGGGTGCTGTTCAATTTGATGTCCTCTTCTGCAAAACACACACAGTCTGCTTCAGGGCCTGCTCTGCATGGGCAGCATGCGGGGTGCTCATCAGCAGAGCAAGAGGGTAACTGGCATGGTGTGTGTGTGTGCGTGGGTGTGTGTGTGCATGTGTGTGTGTGTGCATGCATGTGTGTGTGTGCGTGTGGGTGTGTGTGTGCATGCGTGGGTGTGTGTGTGTGTGCACGCGTGGGTGGGTGTGTGCATGCGTGCGCAGGGGATGGATGGGCCCACTGTGGATGACTGACAGCCAGTGTTTACTCAGCGTTTACTTCTGAGGCCCAGGCTGGAGGGCGGACAGCACAGTCACCCTTGTTTTCACAGACGGGAAACCTTAAGGAAGTGGTGAAGGCCACACCACCAGGATGTGGAGAGCGAATTTCAAGCCCAGGTCGAATCCCCTTGCAAGTCTGTGTTCTCCCCTCTGCCCTGACTGCCTTCCTGGGCAGTGAAGTGGAGCGGAAACCCGGGGTGATGTTTGGGTTCTAACCTTTAAACTAGTTCACCTCATTTGCATCTCAGTCTCCCTTGAGGTTAAGTGTCAGTAATGATATCAGAGCCAGATGACCTACCCGTCGATGGCTCTGGTCAGGTAAAACGTCCTGGCTTTGCCCTGTGCTGCTGGGATTGAGGAGGCAGGGGCCACAGTGAGAACATTCAGTGTATGTTCCCATGATGGGGGCATAGCCTGGGAAATGTGTGGGGGATGGTTAGAGAACTACTTCTCACTCCCAGCACATATCTCCCCGCAACACTGTCAATAGCAGGTAAGGTATTTCCGGGTGAAAAGAACTCTGAAACCTGGCTGTGAAGAGCCTGTCAACTTTTCCTGCAGAACCTGGTCCTTACAAACTCTAAGTTGACTTAATAAGCCTCGAAGGGACCCTGGCCAGTTCTTCTGGGTTAAGCAGGAAGTGCTCTGGCCTCCTCCAGGTAGGATTGTATCAAGACTATAGTTGAGTGAAATCTACTCATTTATAGAAAGATTGAATTTGAAAGTGACTTTTCCAGGAATACCAGGAACAAGACGCCAAGATAGGCATCTAAGGACTAGTCACATCCCCAGCTGTTTATTCTTTCTGTGTAACAACCAGTTCCCTTGATTTGACTCTGCTCTGTGTGATGAGTGTTTCTAACACAGGCGGACACTCCCAATCTCCACCTGCAGTGGTGGGTTGCACCCCCATCCTTTCCCTGGAAATGCAGACATGCGACACCCTGCAGGCGCCCGTGGGATCACTCACGGGGCAGGTCTGCGTAGTCCATCAGGAACTCCAGGCGCTCCATGGCGTCTTTCAGCTGCCTCCTGAGCCTGAACACGGTGACATCGCTGGACTTCTTTAAGAATTCAATGAGCAATACCAGCTCCTCGGTGTTGGCAGGAATCTCACTGACTTTATCTGCGATGTGGCTGTACTGATTGCAAATGCTACGGGATAAAAGCCAGCCGCCATCATCACCATCATCCGCTAAAATCACTTTCTTACGAGGCCCATCACGCTAGACAGACGTGATGCCTATCCGGAGACGAGAACGATGATTTCTGACTGTTCTCTGCCTGCACTCCCTGATGGATGATATGCACAGCACACCACACTTCTGCAGTGACTTCAGGAGTAACAGTAGTCACATCTGACACCCATTAAGCCCATTACTAGGTGCCATGCTCTACTGTTATCATATGGTAGCTCATTTAATTCTCATAGCAAATCTAAGCAGTAGGGACTATTATTACCAACATTTTGATTTTTTTTCTGGATTGATTTTAGAGAGAGAGGAAGGAGAGGGAGAGAGAGATAGAAACATCCATGAGATACAACATCGACTTGCCGCCTCCTACATGCCCCCCACTGGGAATTGGGCCCACAACCTGGGCATGTGCCCTGACCAGGAATCGAACTGGCGACCTCTTGGTGAACGGGTCGACGCTCAACCACTGAGCCACACCGGCTGGGCTATTATTACCAACATTTTGGAAAAGTGAAGCCGAGTAACTTTACCCAAAGCAACGTGGTGTACAGGTGTTACCGCCAGGATCCAAACCCGGGTCAGCTGATTTCAAAGCTTGTACTCTTCACAAATATACCCCAAGTAGAACCCAGACTTTGATCAAAACAATAACAACAATACCACCAGCACCAGCACCTCCTCAAATCTCATGCTAGAGTAGAGAGCACTAAAGTAGTGTGTAATCACTGTTCTCACAGGACACCAGCAAGTGTATCGCCTTGTGCTGCAGGTGGTTCCTGGTGGCACAGAGAAATGATGCTCAACTCCCACGCCCACTCGCTCTGACCACCCACTTCTCCCCAAACACAAGGCTGTGCGAAGGGTGCTATTATATGGATAATTTCAATATGCTCTAATTTATACACTTGCTAATGAATCACAGTCTTCGGCATTTTAAGGATAATTAGGAACAAATGATGTCCAATCCATCCATGTCTAGCACAGAGTGGCCCTCAAGAAACGTTAGCAGAATGGCTATTGATTACTACATGCAGATGGTCATACATTAGGTAAAAACCAGTGTCCTCAATATTTCTACTTAATAGAAGGATACTCCTTCATAATAAAGCCAATTGTATCAAACTGAAGATAAAATGACCATAACACCTTTGCAAATGATGCTGGAATTTTAGAAATGCATTTTTATACAATTCAGGAACTTTCCATAGAGAAAAATGATCTACTGTCTGGGTTCAGAGTATTCTCCACTTCTTGGGCTCAGAGGTGGATTCTATTTCCCAGCCTCCTTAATATTTTTAATTGGATATTTTACTAGTCGGCTCAGCTACCATAACAAAATATCATTGGGAAGCTTAAACAACAGAAATTTATTTTCTCACAGTTCTGGGGGCTGGAACTGATTTGGTTCCTAGTGAGAACTCTTCCTGGCTTACATATGAATGCTTTTTCGCTGTGTCCTCACATGGCAGACAGGAAGAGAGTTTTGATGTCTCTCTCTTCTTATAAGGGACACAACCCTATGACCTCATTTAACCTCATCGCTTCTCTATGGCTCTGTCTCCCAGCACTGTCTCGTTGGGCATGATTGCTTTGCAGCAGACAGATTTGTGTACCCCCGCCCCAAATTCATATATTGAAACCCAATCCCTAATGTGATGATATTAGGATGTGGCCTTGGGGTGGCGATTAGGTCATGAGGTTATGACCACACGAATCAGGTCAGTACCCTGATGAAAGAGCCCCTGTGAGGACACAGGGGGAAGAAGGGTGTCTATGAACCAGGAAGTGGGCTCAACAGACGCCAAACCTGCTGAAGCCTTGATCTTAGACTTCCCAGCCTCCAAAACTGTGGGAAACAAATGTCTCTTGTTCATGTGCCGCCAAGCCTGTGGTGGTCTATTGCAGCAGCTCAGATGGACTAAGACAGATGTCCACATGTGACTTCAGGAGAGCACAGTTCAGACCACAGCAGGTATGGCTCTGGGCTGAACTCCCGCCGAGGGAGGTGGGAAGCGGCGATGGCTGTCACTTTCAGGTGCAGCACACAAACTGTCCTTGTGCTCTCCATGCTCTTACTCCTCCCCTCTGTCCAGGATCTCAGAACTTAGAATGACCTTGAAAGCTACATGTTGAACATGTACAGTTACGATCTTGCTTGAGTTTCTGAATGCACATAATAGGTCTTCTCTACCAATCTGAAGCTATCCTGAGCAAGAAATAAACTTCTACTGTGTTTGATCATGACATGTTGGTTCCATTTGTTATAGCATCTGGCCTAACCTAACTAACTCAGATAGATCCTCTCAGCCTGATAGACTCCTGTCTGATGAGAATCCATCCTTCTTCCCTTTTGTATGAGAATTCATAGAGTGAATGTCATCTGGCACCTGGTTCTCAGCTCTCTGGGGGTGGGGGACAGAAGGATGGTAGCAAAGTCCCTATCTACTAGACCCTCTAAAAGGCCCTGAATATGAGTTGGTGATACCAGGAATCTGACCAACACAACACCTAGCAACATGCAGGTGAGAAACTGAGGACAGGAAACACGATGAGGGTGGCTGCACTATTGCTCATGAAAAATACTTCTTGATGCTGAAACTTTCTAAAAAAGTAGGAAGCATGAAGGCGCAAACCTTTTATGGTCCCAGTCCCAACTCATTTGACAGGCCAAGAAACTGAAGTCCTGAGAGGTGACTGTAGGGACACACAGCTAGTAAACAGAGGGTCCTGAGTTCCCAGCCGAACCTTCTGGCTCCCACACCAGGAACCCCATGTCACTCCTCAGTGACAAAGCTGTGTGGTGGCGGAGAGCAGGGCCTTCGGGGTCAACATAAAGCAGGCTAAGCTCAAGCTGTGCCACCTGCTAACCTCTTGGAGTCTCCCCTCCATCAACATCATGGAGAAAATGACGAACTATTTCCTTGAGTTGCTGGGAAGACCTGGCCTGATCGATAATGTTCACAATGTTTACCCAGGTCCGGAGAGCACAGTTCAGATCAAAGCAGGTGTGGAACTGGGTTGAGCTCCCGCCGAGGGAGCCTATTTACATCATCACCTCTTCTGGTAACCACGCCCCCCTCCCTCTCTGCCCCTGTGGTCTAGGTAGGGCGATGCCACACCAGGGATGAGAATGCCACCCAGATCTAGGCCATCCTCTTGGCCACAGTGTTGGTCCAGTGTTGCAACAATGAGCCAAATCCGGCCAGCATCACACAGGCCAGGGCTTTGGTGAGGCAGCTGGAAAACAGAAACCTTTTCCCCTCTGGGCGGGAACCTGGTAGGATGCAAGCCCAGGGCTGCTGGGGTGCACACAGGAGAACTGAGTAGAGGATAAAGGTTGAACCCTAATTGCCTGAAGCTAGTAACTCCTGAACTTTTCAACACGTGAGCCCCAAATTCCCTTTTCTACTTCAGCCAGTCTGTTTGGGCTTCTATCCCTTACGACCAAAAACATTACTAATATGTAGATACTCATCAGTAAAATAAAGGCACTATACTGAACTTTCTGAATGACAGACTCCCTTAACCTATACAGCAGATCTCTGCAGAGCAGTGGTCTAACGGTGTGTCTGAATGTATGCTAGCTGACCGTGAGGATCTGTGGCCTCACACAGCCAGGACATGAAGCAGCACCTCCCAGAGCTGCCTGCAAGAAAGCGAAGGCTGAAGGACCAGAGACGGACAGCCTCAGGACACTTCCCACCCTCTTACTCCAAGCCCCATGTAGTTTTCTTACCCATTAACCTTCTAGCCTGAATTTGAATTCCCTGCCACCCTCATTTGTGGCAGAAACAACCTGAACTGGAAGTTCAGCCTGGTCATTGTTGGGAGGTGCAAATTTGGTCTACATTTGCCTTCTCCTGTTTGTGCCAAACATCACTCCCATTTCTCCGCACACAGTGACAGTACCTGGTATTGGTGTCCCGGTTTACATCCACTTGGAATTGAATCAGACGGTCATTAAGATTTTGAGCTCGCTCACAGAGATCATAATTTAGGGTCATGGTGTCAAGGCAGAACATGGCCAAAGGCACGGAAATGTGCATGGATGCAATTTCATTTCTCCGTTTTTTTATACTATTGATCACCTGTAAAAAGGAGCATATTCAGTAGCTTGATTTGCATTCAGCCTTCATGCATCGCCCACAGGCTCAGCCTGGCCAACCTAGTCCAATGTTGAGCACAGTATATATACCAAGGAAACCCACTGACTACTCATTGGATTGTCTGCAGCACACGGACCAAGATATGAAATGTCAAGTGGCATCTCCTACCATCACAAAATCCTCGATTTCATGTGTTTCTTTCAGGAATGCAGTGATGTTTTGCTCCGCCCTGTTATCCAATAAGTCATCATACTGTTTGTAGGCATTCAAGTATCTTCCGTATTGAAGAGCATAAAATCAAACATGCAACACAAGCCACCAAGTCGGGTTAGTCAGAGTGGCAAATGCAGAGATACAACATAAAAATCAGCCCAAATCAAGACAGAGAAACATGAGGTGACAAAAGGTAAATTGAACTGGAAATTCAGAACTTTGACTGAAAATTCCAATTTTGTTACCTCCTAGTTGCATGAACTTAGACAAGATACTTCTCTTTTCCAAAGATCAGTATTTTTGATTTGAGTGGAAATAGCAACAGCTTGTAACTGTACCAAGGCATGCACGAAGCATTTGCTACTGAGCCTGACACCCAGTGGACACGGAACAGACATTACTGCGATGCCTCCTTCCAGCTGTAAAACTCTATGTCTAAATTTTAAGAGGAAAACGTGAAACTAATGAACCTAAAATCGATGGGATAAAATGAAGTTTCCCTGTCTGTTAACAGATCATGCAGAAATGGCTGGACAGATTTCCCTCCAATGGGAGGATGTGTTTGGGATGCTTTGACATAAGTTTCACTGAAAATGAAGATGATGTGGAGTAAGTGGAATTAACTTGGTGGAGCCCCGTGGTACTTCCAGGCACTTCAGAGACTCTGGGACTGAGACACAAGGAGAAGCCATCAACTGTCAGTCCAGAGGGCAAACTGTGCAGGAGAGTCCATGAACAGAGAAAATAGGGGTTTGAATCCATGCTCCAAATCAATTTCATGAAGCAGGAGCTTTCAAATGCGAGTCTGTGGTTTCCAGACTGGGTTAGCAGTAATTTTCAACAGTGGATGATTTTGCTCCCAGGGGACATTGGCCATGTCTGGGGGCATTTTTTGTTGTTATAATTGGTGGAGGATCCTACTGACATCTAATGGGTAGAGGCCAGGGATGCTGCCAAAAATCCTACCATGCCCAGGACAGCCCCACAACGCAGCGTTTTCTGTTCTAAAATATCAGTAGTGCTTCAGTCAAGAAGCCCTGGCTGGAGGGATCATGCGTCCTGGTTTGCGCGGGACAACCCAAGTTACAACTGTCATCCCGTGGGAACTGTTAATAACGTCCCCTTCATCCTCACAGGGTCTCAGTTCGGAAGCTGGAAGTTGCCTCCTGAGACCACCCTGCCCCCGAGCCTGCCCCCACGAGCAAACGCCACGTGCTCAACGCTGACACCACCGAGGGGCACGCAGATAACTGGCCTCCATCCCATTAGTCCCCAAGTCCAGAAAGCTCTGGAAACAGGGAGTTGCTTCAAACGTCATCTGATGTGAGGCTGTTCTGCATCGTTTTCACTGCAGAAACACCAGTGTGTTGTGTGGCACGCTGGGTGCTGCCCAGACTCTGCAGGGCCTACAACCCGGAATCTTCTAAGTGCCCAAACCTGCCCCACCGCACAGCTTCCAGCTAATGGGCGGGCCTACAAGCGAATTTGAAGTCTGGCTGTCCTCTCTATTTCCTGTGCCACACTGCGAAATCCACTGATTGCCTGTGTGTAAAGTGGGGATCCGCAGTAATACCCACGTGAGTAAGTACTGGCTGCTGTTACGCAGTTTCGGGTGTGGGAACAGAGATCTTTCACTTGAAGACAGTTAAGAACTAACCCAATGCTAGAAAGGCCCAGTGACAGCTAAACCAACTTACTTTTGGGGGCCAACTTGGTTTTTCTGAAATACCTGGAGAGTCTTATTCACAAGATCAGAAACCAGTGTTTCTTCAGGGTTAACGGTTCCAAGAATCAGATTATATCCTTTTAACTCTGGGAACAGGACAGATTCCACCTAAAGAAGGAGACAGAAGGGAGGTGGCGCCAAGCGCTGGGCTCCTTCCCAGGGACACAGCACGTCCCACTCCACGGGGCCTTGAACAAGGCCGGACTCACTCCTGGCTCTCTGGGGGTCACTCATCTTTCAGATCCTTGCTCCTTTCACGGGTCTTGCCCCTGGAGAGTCCCCTGGGCCCCCAGGGGTATCAGGTGTCCCTGCTCAAAGCCCCAGTTCTGAGTGTTCTCATTGCAGTGGTCAGTAAACGAGTGTGTATGAACTGTGTCAGGTCCCCCAGGGGACATCCACAGGGCGAGGGCCTGGATCCTACCTGAGTTCTGCACTACTCTGAAGGACCCGACAAGAGCTCAGTAAAGACGGTGTGAGTGAATAGACCTGCCACCCCTTCAACTTCTCTAATGAAAAGCTACTTGAGACATGGGTTCTAATCCCGACTCTGCCACCAACTGACTCTGTGACCTGAGGCAAGCCACTTCTCTCTGGACTTCAGTTTTTCCCTCTGAAGAAAAGGAGAAAAAAGCTATGGTTGGATGAACGTGAGGCAGAAACAGGATTGTGCTGAAAATTCAAATGCTCCAATTTTTCTATGGCATGTGTCCATCTCTGAGAAATGTTCACATTGTCATGATTCGTGAAGGCTGCGGAGCCCCTGCGGGGGAGCCCAGCACATTCCGCTGCCCCGCTGCTGAGGAAGGTTCTAGTGATCCGTGTCAGAGAGGCCTTCAGAGCGCTTCCCGGGTTATGCCAGGTTTGTGTAGTTAAGGAGGCTACATTGATCTACAAAGGGAAAAAGCCAAGCAAGAGCAAGTGGCCTGTGCCCCCTGTGTGGTCAGTCCAGAGGGTTTCAAGCCAGTGGAAGGGTGACATCTTCGCTGTGGCCAGCGGTTGAAAGCAAGGAGATGGAGGGCCTGGCATTGGTCCATGGGGGAGGATGTAGTTCTGGGCAGCGCAAGGCAGGCCAGGCAACAGACACATCTGGGCAGCATGATGGGTGGTTTCTGGGGAGAAGTCTTCAAGGAAAAGACAAGGCAATACCTCCTGCTGCCCTTTGTGTGGCTGGTTCTCCCGCGCCCTGCAGAGCCACCGGTGAGACCGGCGAGGACACCCTCGCCCTGCCTGGCTCTCAGCACTGCCGTCTCGCTCCCGGCTCGCCGACCCACACTTCCTGGTTCTGTCTCGGCCCTCAGAGCTGCTGCTGCTGCTGCACTTCGACCCTGGCATCTCCCGGGCACCGTGAGTGGGAAACCCCCGCACCAGGAGCGGCCTGGCCTGAGCAGCCCTTTCCATCTCTATGTCTCTGATGACGAGAGTGACGGTTGCCAGTGCTGATTTAAACTCTGCTAGTTTGTAAAAGTTGGGTTTCAGAAACCTTTCTTTGACCTCATCCGGCTTCATTTTATGTGTACCTCTCACTCACCTCTTTTTATTTCAATCAGTGCTAAATCAGAACACCATTCATGTCTTCCTCAACTTTATTTTTAATTTCTTTTTTTGACTTTAAATAATTCTTTAGTTTTCAATTACAGTTGACATACAATATTATATTTGTTTCAAGTGTACAACCCAGTGATTTGACATTCTAAACTTATTAAATAATCACCCCCATATAGTAACCATGTGACACCCTAGTTATTATAATATTATTGACTAATTTCCCTATGCTATGCTTTACATCCCCATGACTGTTCTGTAACTACCAATCTATACTTAAAAAAAAAGTGTATTTATTTTTGTTACAGATGTTTCTCCTTTTCCCCCCATTAATGCCCTCCTCCCAATTCCACTCCCCACCCCAAGCATTATTGTCTATGTTCTTGTTTACGCGTACATGCATGTAAATTCTACGGTTTATCTGCTTCCCATCCATCTCTTCTGAGGTTTGTCAGTCTGCACCCCACTTCCATGTCCCTGGGTGTATTTTGTTTCTCAGCTAGTTTTGTTCAATTTATTCCACAAATACGTGAGATCATGTGATATTTGTCTTTCTCTGATGGGCTTGTTTCGCTTAGAATAATACTTTCCCGGTCCCTCCATGTCGTCTCAAAGGTAAGAGATCTTTCCTTCTTTATCCTCACCTGAGGACATTTTTGCATTTATCTTCAGACAGAGCAGGAGGAAGAGAGGGTGGAAGAGAGAGAGAGAAGAGAGAGAGAGAGAAATGAGAAAGACATATCGACTGGTTGCCACCTATACGACCCCAACCAGGGCCGGGGACGAACTGCAACTGAGGTATATGCTCTTAGTGGGAACTGAACCCGGGACTCTGGTCTGCGGGCAGACACTCTAACCGTTGAGCTAAACGAGCCAGAGCAAGAGATCTTTCTTTCTTATAGCCGCATAGTATTCCATCCTATATATGTTTCACAGCTTTTTATCCACTCATCTACTGATGGACACTTGGACTATTCCCAGATCTTAGTGATTCTAAATAGGGCTGCTATGAACATGGGGGTACATCTATTCTTTCTGATTGATGTTTCAGGCTTCTTAGGATATATTTCTAGAGGTGGGATCACTGGGTCAAATGGCAATTCAATTTTTAATTTTTTGAAGAAACACTATATTGATTTCCATAGTGGCTGCACCAGTCAGCATTCCCACCAGCAATGTACTAGAGTCCCCTTTTCTCCACACCCTCACCAACACTTGTTTGATGATTTCTTGATGGCGGCCATTCTGACAGGTGTGAGGTGATACCTCATTGTTGTTTTAATTTGCATCTCTCTGATGATTAGTTATGATGAGCATTTCTTCATATGTTTCTCCTCTGCCCATTTTTTAATTGGGTTCTTTGTCTTCATTTTGTTGAGTTGTATGAACACTCTATATGTATTGGAAATTAACCCCTTATCTGATATATCATTGGCAATTATGCTCTCCCATACAGTGGGTAGCCTTTCCGTTTTGATGATTGTATCTTTTGCTGTGTAGAAGCTTTTGAGTTTGATGTAATCCCATGTGTTCATTTTCTCCTTTGTTTCTATTGTCTGAAGTGATGTGTCAGTAAACACATCACTTCTGCTGCATATGATGTCTGAAATTTTGTTGCCTACAGTCTTTTCTAGGATTTTTATGGATTCATGAGTTACATTTAAGTCTTTTATCCATTTTCAGTTTATTATCGTGTAGGGTGTAAGTTGATGGTCTAGTTTCATTTTTCTGCAAGTAGCTGTCCAATTTTCCCAGCACCATTTATTAAAGATGCTGTCCTTACTCCACTGTATGCTCTTGCCACCTTTGTCAAATATTAATTGAGCATATTGCCTTGGGTCCATTTCTGGGTTCTCTGTTCTGTTCCAATTGTCTATATGCCTGTTCTTGTGCCAGTACCAGGCTGTTTTGATTACAGTGGTTTTGTAGTATAACCTGACATCTGGTATTGTGATCCCTCCAACTTTGTTCTTCCTTTTCAAGATTGCTGTGGCTATTTGAGGCCTTTTTTGGTTCCATATGAACTTTTGAAATAATTGTTCTAATTCTGTGAAGTATGCCGTTGGTATTTTGATGGGGATCGCGTTGAATCTATAGATTGCTTTGCGTAATATGGACATTTTAATGATGTTAATTCTCCCAATCCATGAACAGGGTATATGCTTCCACTTTTTTATATCTTCCTTTATTTCTTTTTTCAATGACCTGTAGTTTTCTGCGAAAGGTCCTTTATTTTGTTGGTTAAGTTTATTCCTAGGTATCTTAATTTTTTTGTCGCAATGGTAAATGGGATTGTTTTCTTGTTTCTCTTTCTGTGAGTTCATCATTGGTGTATAAGAATGCCATCGATTTCTTGACGTTAATTTTGTATCTTGCTACTTTGCCAAAATCATTTAGTAAGTCTAGTAAACTTTTGATGGAGTCTTTGGAGTTTTCTAGGTATAGTATCATGTCATCTGCAAATAATGACAATTTCACTTCCTCCTTTCCAATTTGGATCCCTTTTATTTTTCTTCCTGTCTGATTGCTGTGGCTAAGACTTCCAGTACTATGTTAAATAGGAGTGGCGAAAGTGTGCATCCTTGCCTTGTTCCTGTTCCAAAGGGAAATGCTTTTAGTTTTTGCCGAATGAGTATAATGTTGGCTGTAGGTCTTTCATATATGGCCTTTATTATATCTAGATATGATCCCTCTATTTCCACATGGCTGAGCGCTTTTATCAGAAATGGATGCCGGATTTTGTCGAAGGCTTTTTCAGCATCTATAGATATTATGATGTGGTTTTTATTCTTCATTTTATTTATGTGGTGTATCACATTTATTGATTTGCGAATATTGTACCAGCCTTGCATCCCTGGGATGAATCCCACTTGGTCATGGTGGATAATTTTTTTGGTGCATTGCTGGATCTGATTTGCTAGTATTTTGTTCAGGATTTTGGCATCTATGTTCATCAGGAATATTGGCCTGTAGTTTTCTTTCTTTGTTGTGTCTTTTTCTGATTTTGGAATTAGAATTATGCTGGCTTCATAAAACGAGTTTGGAAGTCTTCCTTCTTCTTGGATTTTTTGAAATAGTTTGAGGAGAATGGGTATTAGTTCTCCTTTGAATGTTCGGTAAAACTCCCCTGTGAAGCCATCCAGGCCTGGGCTTTTGTTTGCTGGGAGCGTCTTGATTACATCTTCAATTTCTTCTGTTGTTATTGGTCTGTTCAAGTTTTCTATCTCTTCCTGATCCAGTTTTGGGAGACTATGTGTTTCTATAAATTTGTCCATTTTGCTTAGATTGTCGAATTTGTTGCCATATAATTGTTCATAGTAGTTGTTAACGATCTTTTGTATTTCTGTGGTGTCGGTTGTTACCTCTCCTCTTTCATTTCTGATTTTGTGTATTTGGGTTCTCTCTCTTTGTTTCTTGGTGAGTCTAGCTAAGGGTCCATCAATCTTGTTTATCTTTTTGAAAAACCAGATCTTTGTTTCATTGATCCTTTGAATTGTTTTTTTGGTCTGTATGTCATTTATTTCTGCTCTGATCTTTACTATTTCCTTCCTTCTACTTGCTCTGGG